CAATTAAATTTTAAAATTTACCAAAAGTTTTTAAGTAAAGTCTATTACAAAATGGTACTAAAGCATTTATTTATTACTGTAGCATTTACTTCCATTCAAATTTTTGTCACTTTTATTTCCTATATACTTCTCAAAGTGATAGCTCTGTTGATACTTTTACTGGGAAGTACAGCTTCCAAGAGTCCTTAAAGCCACATGTTCCTCATCCCCATAACACTACTTTCCAAAGTATGTATCAAAAGGCACTTGGTTAAGTGGAAGATAGTGCACAAGATTTTAAGAGATTTTACACAGATAGTCTTGTAGATATAAATATATAGAAATAAATGCTATATGTATGTATGTATCTATATGGATTTTAAAAGTTAAAGTTTTGGTAAGAAAAACATTAAAATTATCCAGATACTATATGTATGTGTGTAAATGTGATTTCTCTAATTTTGTTATAAAGACTCTTTCCCATTTGTGCCTTGGCTACTGTGAGGTGCACAAGGAATTGGGAAGAAGAGGATTTAAGGCAGTTTTTTTTTAATTCTTTAACCAACTGTTCAAATCATTTCCAGTAAACAGTAGCACCTCTTCTTAGCATAGCAAGATTCTAATAACCATTCTAAGAAACATAGAAATGTTTTACCATCTTATTTGCTTCTATGAAATGTAAGCAAGCAACCCTACTGTGCCATACTTCTTACTGTCTAAGCTCAGCTACTGCAAGAAAAAGGCCTTTTTCTTGCCTAATGCCACACATGGGAACATGCTGTTAAATAAACTGGCACATACTGAAAGTCAGATTAACTACATTTAACTAAAGAACACAATTGCCTTTTTTTTCTACCCTCTTCGTTTTCTAAGGGGGTAAAGTTTTAAAGGCTAAATGTTTGACTTTCCTTTACATAAACACAGCAGGGCCAACAACCACAGTAAGAATGGGCAGAGTGGCCCTTTCTATGAGACTGGAACTGTTAAGTTGCCAAAACATCTAGCCAATGCAGTTAAAACATCCAATGTGTGTGTGTGTTCGTGTGTGTGTATGTGTATATGTGTGTGTGTGTGTGTGTGTTTACACTCGCCATTCTTCCACTGGTCATTGGGCCTCTGTTGTCAAACATCTGATTCTCTTCAATACACACATACACACACACACACACACACACAAAACAGCACACAAACTTTGCAACCAAGTATTTTGGCAGCCTGTAGATACAATCTAAAAAGGAGATTCCACATTTGGGTCACTTCCATGGAAGCCTCTTCATGTCTGTCTCCTTCCCCTTCTCCACCTTTGCAGCCCGAGTTCAATATTAGAACTGAATTTTAGGACTCTAAAAGTATACTAAGCAACACAGCACTCTTCCATCAAGGGCCAAGTAGTTTTCCAGCTCCACACCCCAGACCTCCTCTTCAATACAATTCTTCGAGTTTTCCTTTAAGAGTAGTTTGGTCAAAGCCTTCACCAAACCAAGTTCAGCACTCCCCCTGCTGGCACTCTAGGAACTGACTCACTTTATTCAGTAGGTCTATAGAGACCCATGACAAGGATCTTAGAGCCCAAAGGAGGCAAAAATAAACAAATAAATGAAAGTTCGGGTCAAATTTACCTTCCCAAAAGTAAAACACTACTTGTTTTAAATAATGAAGTGGGAAGGCTGGAAACAGATTTTGACAAAAAAAATAAGAAAAAATTTAAAAATTAATTTAATTTTAAAAATTAATATTAGCTGACCCAAGTTTTTAAGAAGCACCTGAAACAACTATTTTTTTTACTTAAAGGACTAAAGTGGTTTTTAAAAAGCTATATGAAGTATTATCACTTTAACAAATATGTTAAATAAATATCCCAACAAATGAAAATCTGACATTTTCTTCAGTATCTATTAAGGTAGTGATGGCATTCATATACCTTACTTCAATATTTCTAGGGATCTATGATTTCATCCATTTAGGAATACTCCCTCCATCAGTTCAGACTGGAACCTAGAGGCATTTTCTCATAGTGTCAAAGAACACTGTATTTCAAATCAAAGGGCCTGTATTCAAATCCTGGCTCTGGCATTTACTATTTGTGCCTTACTATTTTGCTCTAGCCTAGGCAAGTCACTAAACCTGGATGGGTCTCAGTTCCTCAACTGTAAAATGAAGGGAATGGTCTCAATGACTTCTAAGATTCTCCAGCTACATTCTCCATCCTCTTTTATCTTGATGGACTATTTCATCAATTGCCATGGCCAAAATGCACTCAGTACTTAATAGCCAGCCTTCTAGAAATGAGCCTCTTGATACTTAGCGAGGCGAAGCCTCCGACCTGATCTATTCTAGAAACTTCTCCAGCTTCATAGAACATGGCAGAGGGTGAAGCCTCCAGCACCATCTCCATGCAGCACACAAATGAGACTTTAGAAGAGATTAAATCACCTCTGTGCTAAATCAACTAGATGTAGCAAGTTTTCAGCCAGCTCATTCACCGTAAAACCTCCCTCTTTTTCATGCTTGAACTACTGAATTGAGTGAAATGAGCACTAGGAATATCCCCAGCTCTGTGGACTGGCCTCAATGACCAGTAAGGAGCCTCAACGTTCAGATACAGAAGGGTTCAACCAACTCTCAGGAAACAGCTTGGTTTCCAAGATATTCCCATCTTCAACTTTTTTTCAACTTCGATGACACTCTCATAATAAGAACACTGACTCCCCAGAAACTGGACTGAAACAAGTCGCTACAAATTAAACACCCAAAAATAAAGACTTTTAATTATTACTATCCTGAAAACCAGAGAAGCAGAGGGAAAATGTTACTATGCTGGGCTTTTGCAAACTTACTTTCCAGTCTAGGTCCTACTAAAAAAAAAAATTACATGTGACATGAAGTTGATAAGTTCCTGACCACTTCAGCATGATTACAGTAACAATTCAAGGTACGCTCCTTGCAATCAATTATGAATTTTCATTCATTAGTAAGCATGAATACAGCAATACTTCTGCCCCTATTGAATATCCTTTGTTTGTAAGGCATTAAAGTCATTATCCAAAAATTGCCTGGGAATTCTCTTACCTCTGTTCCCATAAAGGCACTATCACAAAGAAGATTATTATCTGCAACATGTTGCTCATACGTTTGGGAAATGATTCCTAGAGAACTTGGAATTGTCAACAACCACTGTGGCCTCTTATTTCTCTTTAGGTCTTAAGAAACCAAGGAAAACTGGACAGAAGGAGAAGTTAAAAGAAGGAAGGAGTGAGCAAAAACTATTCTTTTGATCAATGAGGAGTCTTCACACTTGATCATCCCTGAAGTGCTGGGGCTTCCAACCCCTAAAGAGTGAAGTCATGTTGGTTTTGATACAACAATCTACCACTATAGATTTCATTGATGTCACACTACTTTCCTACTAATACAGGCAACTATATGAAATTTGTCACCATTTTTTCCAAACTATTCAGTCTTAGCCAACATCTTAATTTACTTTTTTTTAAATGGTGAATAGCCAGATGAGAGAGAGTCTGGGTTTTGTGTACATGTGTCTGCAAAGCTTTTTTCCACTGTGAAGCGTAGACAAAGGTGATAAGGATCTAACTAGTTTCCATGCAGAACTATTTGGATGGCTTATTAGTCAATTCCTCCACTCCCATTTCCCCAAAAGCACTCATTTTTCACTTGTCTGTCATAGTTGTTGGAGGTCAAATCAACAAAGTTGAAAATGCAATGCTTTGGTTTCTGATACATAAAAGGCATTATGGGGGAAAAAAGGCGTTATGAGACTTCCACAGCTATGTCTAGAGGTGGAGTAGATTCAAAGGGCTGTGCATAGTGAAGGAAAGTTTCTGTTAATGATGACATCATTGACATTTCCCAAATTTAAAGGGGCATTTAAGGCACAGCAGATGTGATTTCTTCCCCTCCAGTGAAGAGACACTAGAGAAGGCCTCTAGGTACACGGGTAAGAAATTTCTCTAATTGCACGGATTCCATTTGGACCAAACCAGAGAAAAATGAACTGTTCATGTTCAGTTACTGTGGCATATTGCCTGTGACATTCTATGCTCCAAGTTAATGAGTCTCCTAAAAGCTTAGACCTAAAGTGTTTTTCCATTATAAAGAAATACTGAAAGACATTGATCACTGGTAATACAGCATGTTAAAGAAAATTATAAGGGTCACTAAGGGAATAAAGAATTTACTACATAGAGGTTTAATATCTAAATCAAACATTTATTTATCTAGGTCCTTTCTGGAATCACATGCTAATCTGGATGAGGGTAGAAGGAAGGGAGGTAGGAAACAAGCGGAATAAAGGAACAAATTCCTGAGTTTGCCTCCTGGCTAGGCAGCTCATGTCTAATATTACACAAAGATGGTTCTAATACCTGCCAACCCATCAGCTCCCTGCATGAGCAGAGATATACACATATGTCCCAACTGGACCCCTTAAATTGCTACAGTAGCAGCAGCAGCAGCAGCAGCAGCAAAACAATAATGAATTCGGTGTGAGATCCTGCAATGCAGAATCCTCTCCGAATCTCATTATTGAACGGGGGTGAGGGAAGTCCATGACATGGGCATCTCATATATGTGCAAAGAGACTGAGAGGGTTACTACTGCATTTAGCCAGTGGAAAAAAGGGGACACTCCAGAAGTCAACCCCTAACCCCCCCCACCTTTAACCTTTTCCTCACCCTCCCGGTCGAGTGCGAGCTCTAACTTCTCTTTCAGTAAGTGGACCCAGGCGTGCATGGGAGGTTGGGGGAGGGGGGCGGTCTCCCACTCTCCCCTCCTTTCCACCCCACGGTAGGAGGAAAGGACATTGAGCGCTCCCGCTGCCACCGCTGCCGCCTGTCTCTGCCTGCACCGCGCTGGGGGGACTGCACACTGGCGATGATTTCGGATTAGCAGCAGCGCACCTGTCCCATCCTCTCTCCGCTGCAGTGACACCCACAGAACCCGGTGACCTGCCTGGCGCCATAGACTGGCCCCAGCAACGCGAAGAAGATCAGCCAGTTTCTTACCTGCTCTCTACGCCTGCTCCAATCCTTTATTAACCGACTTCCATTTTCTTTTGCTTTAAACTAAAAGGAAATCAAATCAGCTGGTTTGGTTTCCCCCCTCCTTCTCTCTCTCTCTCTCTCCCCCTTTCCCAGCTGCCGCTCTCAGTCACCGGGATCCTCCTCCTTCTAGTCCTTCTCCTCCTCCTCCACCTCCTTCTCCTTCTCCTCCTCCTTCTCTCCCCGTTGCCTGGAGGAGCAGCTGCTTCTCTCTCCTACACTCACCCTGCAGAAGCTTCGGAGAGATACCCCTCCCCCTGTCCCTGACGTCACCTGGCTGCAAACTCCCTCCCTCCCCCCCGCCCTAACCCCAACACACCCCCCTCTTCTCCCTTCTCTTTACCCTGCAGAAGCCTCTCAGCAAGAAGTGGCCGCTGCCTCCTCCTCCTCCTCCTTCTTCCCCTCCTCCTTCTCCATCCTCTCCACCTCCTGTCCCTGACGTCACAGGGCTGCAAGGCCCACCCACCCAATGCCTTCCTCCTCTCCTGCGGAAGGCTCGATGACAACCTGCTGCCTCCGAGCTGAGCCCCGCTCCAGACTACTTGTGCTCCAAAGATGTGCCTGGCCGTGGTGGCTCCCCCGCTGTCATCCCGCCAGGAGGGAGGGAAGCCAGGAGGGGTGGCCTCGGAGCCGGAGCCAGTGCTGGGCCAAGGGGACACTTGGCCACACCTAACGCCCGGGCCAGGATCATTCCTGAAGGGAGAGTGTGGTGATGAGAGGGAACGGCAGAGCCAACTAATTGCAACTTATTTTCTGCTGGAGAAAGAATTTTAAAAAACAAAAATGAATAAGAGGGCTGTCAAAGGGCAAAAGCTTTGGCTCAAGCGCACCCTCTATCCTTCTTAATACTTTTTTTTTTTTTTTTGGCTTTCTGCTTCTCACGTTGCTTTTACTTCTCTCGCCACTACATTACTATCATCTCTGACATTTTCCTCTCTCTACTCCCCTAACACCCTCTCCCGTTGATGTCAGTCTAACCTGACAGCTGGTTCTCTTGCCTCCTAACGCAGTTTCCTTATCTTTCTTTCCATATTAACTTATCTGTCTCCCAACTGTTTTTTCACTCCACTCTTTTCAGACGATGCCTCTTCTCATTCTCAGAGTTCAGAGGATCTTAGATCTAGAGCTGGAAAGGAAGAATGACTACTCCCATTTTACAGATAAGGAAACTGAGGCTTAGGAAAGCTAAATGTCTTTATACAACTAGTGTGGGTCATCTTCTAAAAGCCCCCTTTTAAGTACTTCTTGTTTCCAAAAAAAGGGGGGAGGGGAGGGTGAAGCAGGTTGGTGGCGAAATCCACTTTTCAGATTTTAAAGGACTATTTCAAAGGACCTTGGGCAAGTCTTAAGCCTGATTTGCCTCTGTCTCTCTCTCCTCTTCCCTCCCCTCTTTCTCTCCATATATATGTATGTATGTATATGTATACATACATAAAATAAATGTGAAATGGAAGTATAAGCAGTAACTTTTTTAACCATCTAAAATCTTGCTCTTACGTGTAAGTTCAGATTATTTTGTACCAGAAAAAAAAAATTGCACAATAGAATTTAACAATAAGTGCTAACCCAACATTTCAGTGGAACAGAGAAAAATGTAATTCTTGTGTGAGGGGGATTCTTTTGAAAACAATTTCCTGAATTGGGTTAGCAAAGAGATTTCCCCTAATACCATTATCATTTAAGCATATAAATATGAATCTTCCTCTTTTCAGTCCCTAAGCACAGGAAGCGAAGTATAAAATGCACTGACTAATAACTATGCTTGACTTTATGCCAATTTGTGCCCATTGGAAAGTATCAGACTGGAGCTAAAATAACCCATAAAATTGAATTCACCTATGCTACCTGAGTAATCCACTGATGTCAGCTGGATGGTGGACTACACATGTGCCTCAGGACTGTACCCTTGGCCCTTTCTTTTCTTTTCTTTTCTTTTTTTCTCTAACAATGTTATCACTGACATCAATTGAAGGCATAAAGGACATATTTACCAAATTTACAAATAAGATAAAACTAGTGGGATAGCTAACATATTGAGGAATAGAATAAGAACATGGGGCTGGATCTAGAAAGATACATTTTAAGCAGGATAAATGTAAAGTCCTACATTTGGGTTTTAAAAAATCAGCCAAGTACAAGCTGGGGAAGTAATGGCTAAAAACCTTTCATGTGAAAAACAAAACAGAACAATAGCAACAAACCAGCAGGCATTTGTGTATTGCATGTTCAGTAAGTCAATGGTAAGGCACGTCAGCCAAAAAAAGAGGCTGCATTGATAGAAGCCTAGTCTCCAGACAGCTAGGTTTATGGTCCTCCTGCCCTCTACCCTTGTCTGAGCACATCTGGAATATAATAAGAGGACACTTTAGTGTTCTTAGAGTGCTTCACGTACATCATATCATATCACTCCATCCTCATAAAACTCTCTGGGGTAGAGACTAGGGGTATTATTATTGTTCCCTTTTCATAGGAAAGAAAACAGACTGAAAGGGTAAATAACTTGCCTGAGGTCTCATAGTTACTGAACCATCAGTTAGGATTTGAATCCAGGACTCTCTGACTCCAACTCTAGCATGCTGTCCACTAGCTCGTGAAGTTCTTGGTGTTTAGGAAGAACATTGACAAGCTAGAGCCTTCTACAGTCTAGCTTCTACCTACTCTGCCAGATATTTTGTATTATTCCCCTTTGTGTATTCTCTGTTCTAGCCAAAATGGACTAATAACTACTGTCATCCTTCAAGGCTCAGATCATGTTCCACCTCCCATGAAAAACCTTTCCTGATCATCTCTCTGACACCCTCCACCCTGAAATTACCACACACAAATTGTTAGTGTTCACCCCCTCCTAAAATGACTTTGGACATTTATTTATTTGTGTACATGTTATATTTCCTGACCTTTTGTGGGTAGTGACTTTCATATTTTGTCTTTGCATCCGAAGCATTAGAATAATGCCTTGCACATAATAGGTGCTTTAGGAAGGTTTGTTGAATGAACATTAATTTATGTAGCATTCTTTCCGAGTAATAACTGTGGTACAATGAAACATAGCAACTTGTGGTATTTTCAATGCCAGCTGGTTGGTAGTTACATAGCAATTTCTTCAAAGACCTGTGAAAAGCACATATCCCAGTCCCTGAACTACTAGAATCCCTTCTACACTATATATACCTGACAATTAAAAAAAAACTATAAATACAAATGTAATAATGACAGTAAGTAATCAGACCAAACTCTTACTGAAAATCCAATTTCTATTCAGTGTCAGTTTTTCCCATTTCCATGATGATTTAATTACTTTATTTTAATAAGATCTTGAGCAACACAATTCATATCCATAATGAAGATAGACTCAAGGGATGTCTATTTCTTAAATGCAGGGAAATTTTATAGACTGTAAGACAAAAATGATAGCATGTCTACAGAGACATGTGTCTATCAAATTTTTGTACATGGCATTATTTTCTCCCATTGGCATAAATTAGTGTAAAGAGACAGTGATCAGACAGAACCAGTGTGGCTTCATCAAGAATAGGTTAGGGGGAAAAAAAAGAATAAGTTTTGGTAGACTAACTTCATTTCCTTTTAATAATGAAATAATAATAGTGATAGCATTTATATACCACTTACTATGTGCCAGGCACTGTGCTAAGCACTTTACAAATACTATCTAATTTGATCTCACAACAACTCTAGGAGATTGGTGTCATTATTATCCCCATTTTACAGTTGAAGAAACTGAGGCAAGCTGAGGTTAAGTGACTATTGAACTCAGATCTTCTCAGGTGGAGAACACTATCTACTGTATCACCTACCTGCCTTTCGTGAGAGAACCACTTAACTGGTAGGTGACGGGAATGCCATAGATACTGTTAATTGAGATTTTGGCAAAACATTTGGAACAATATCCCATTCTATTCTTCTGGAATAGATGAAGAGACATAAGCTAGTTGGCAGTGTAATTAGATAGATTATGAGATGGTTGATATATCTGAAGATAACAAGAAAGCATTTACCTGGCTTTGATGAACTTGTTATCATACCCAGATCAACTATGACCTGAAGTGTCTCATACTATTCTTGTAAAGAAGATGGAGAGATGTGGATTAGATGATAATTTAATCAGGTGGATTCAGATCTAGTTGGATAACAGGACTCAGAGCAGTTGTTAATGGTTCTGTGTCAACATGGCCTGAATGAACTGGCAGGTGAAAGATCATGGAAAATGAGCAGTACCACAAGACTGTAGAAGGTTTAATATCCTGATCTTGGGGGGCAGGGGTGGTGAAGGAGAGAGGAAAAAGAAGGAGAATGGAGTCTAAAAACTATAGACCAATGAACTTGACTTTGGTTCCTGGGAAAATTCTAGAAAGGATCATTAAGGAGAGGCTGATGAATATCTAGAAAGGAAAGTAATAATTAGAAAGAGCTGGCCTGGCTTCATTTAGAGCAAGTCATGCCAAGCTAACCTTATTTCATTTTTTGACAGAATTACTAAACTTTGTATATGAGGGGAATGGTGTGGATACAGAGTTTACTTAGGTTTTAGCAAATCTTTTGGTAAAATGTTTCATCTTATTCTTTTTGAGAAGCTGGAGAAATATGGATTCGACGATAATACAATCAAATAGATCTAGAACTGGTGGGTTGGAGGAGGTCTCCAGGAAATATGCCAGACATCTGTACTTGGCACTGCGCTGCTTAATATTTTTATCAATGACTTGGCTAATGGCATAGATAGCACCCTAATCATATTTGCAGATGGCACAAAGCTGGACAGGATACCTAGCTGACTGAATGAGAGTCAGGTTTTGTTGGCATAGTGGAAAGTACGTTGGGCTTGGGAGGTGGAAGACCTGAATTTGAATCCCACCTTGGACACTTACTAGCTGTGTAACTCCGGGCAAGTCTCTTAACTTCTGTTTGCTTTGGTTTCCCCATCTATAAAATGGGAATAATACCAGCACCCATCTCACAGGGTTGTTGTGAGATTCAGATCAGATAATATTTATAAGAAGTGCTTAGGACAATAATGGGCACATAGTAAGCATTATATAAATACTTATTCCCTCCCCCCCAACTTTTCTTTTCCCCAAAAGATCTTGACCAGCTAGAACATTGAACTGAATCTACTAGGCTGTATTCAACAGAGAAAAATATAAAATCTTGCACTTGTATATAAAAAAAAATAAA